TGGCTAGAGGCTCACTTCAGGGTGTGAGTGCATGGGGAAGTGCCTCCCTTTAGGTGGTAGACGCAGACCTCCTCAACTGGGAAGAAATGGAGCGTTTGATAGCCTGAGCCGCAAGCCAGGCAGTCAATGAATCACCACTGAAGACAACTCTCTCCCTGCTGTGAGGTTCCCTGCAAAACCTTGTAAGCACGGGAAGCTCCTGTGAGGTACTTTTCCTCCACTCACCCTCCAGCACGGCGACTAAAGTTTAGGGGATTTTGAATGTATGAAAACAGGTCTGACTGTACATATCTGGTTGCTTGGCCAACTCCTAGGGCATTTGAGAGACACACCCCTGCTCCCCAAGTTAGAGCTGTAGGGTTGGAAGGACCCGGCAGACCACAGGCTGCAAAACTAAATGTGGCCAGCAGAGGTCGCGAGAATGCAAAGCAGAGAAGCTACTGCAGGGAGCATCGCTGTGGTGACCAACTGGGAGAATAGAATAGAGGACCCGGAAATAAACCCACATTGCAGTAGCTGCCTCATCTTTGACAAAAGTATGAAAATACATACACTGGAAAAGAAGGCAGCCTCTCCTTTATAACCTTACATGGAAGCCCCTAACAATTTGGAAAGAAATACTTCAAAATATCAGCACAGGAGAGGACTTCATGAAAAGGGCTCAATAGCACAGGAAATAATAATCCACAAATTGACAAATGGGAACATATGAAATTAAAAAGCTTCTGCCCCACAAAGGAACCATCACCAGAGTGAAGACAGCCTTAATGGAGGCCAGCAAAGGAAATATTTGCTAACTGCTTGCATATCAAATAGGGGATTAAAATCTACTGGAATTGCAAAAATTAGACACCAAGAGACAAATCCTCTCAGTCCATGGCAAGATGAACTGACTTGACAGTATCAAAAATAAGAAAGAAATGCAAATAGTTATTGCAAATAACTACTTGAAAATGCTTCCAACAACCAGTGCCACATCGCTGGTATACATCCTGTGTCTGAAGAATGTGGTGTCTTCAACAAGAGGGTCTAACCTTCTGTTCTAGAAGGGAACAAGAACATCAATAACAGCCTTTATTGTTTGGGGCATGATTTGCATTCACTTGACCAACAACTGGAGGAGAGAGTTTCCGTTAAAATCGACTGCCACCACTTTCCTAAACCACTATAATTTCTAACTCCATTCTAAAAACTTATCCTTTTAGCCAGAGAATAATGTGGCTCTGGATGCTGTGCAGTGGTGGCACACATTTTTAATATGAGCACTTGGGAGGAGGAAGCAAATGAGTTTCTAAGTTCAAGGCCAGTCTGATCTACAGAGCAAGTTCCAGGACAGCCAGGGCTACACAGAGAAACCTTGTCTCAAAAAGCAAAAAACAAACAAAGTGTAGTTCTCACCCCTCATTTAAAAAAGTTTCCATTTTTATATTTCCTGCAGTAGGTGGAGACGACTATGGAAATCATAAAATGGTCAAAACCAAAACCATCAGACTGAGAAGTGCCCAACCCTAAACGGTCCATCAACGTAACCCCTAAATCTAAGGCATGGGGACATCACAGAAGATGTGGAAAGACTGTAAAGGCAGAGGGTCAGGATATCTGTGGAGAGATAGTGTCTTAAATATATGAAGGGAAGCTGCACTCATGAAATATGTTACCAAATCAAAGCCATGTTTGCCTAAAAAAGACCAGCACAACGACAACACCAGAGAAGATGCCAACACAGATGGAGGGAATCTCACAGGCCCTGCTCCTGGATAAAAGGCAATCAGTGACAGCTGAGGAAGTAAGAGTCAGCCTTCTCCGGGAACGAGTGCTCTGACAGGTTACCCAGGAACAAGCCGCCAGCCCTGAACACGTGTACAAGAAACACTGAACAGACTCATCAGCTTATGTATCACACGTGTAATAAAGAAGAGGCCATTTAAGAGGAAGTAGGGGTGGAGATACATGAGGAGTTGGAGAGGGGATGGATACTGTACTAATGTATAAAATTCTCAAATAAATAAAAATGTTTTTCATTAAAAAAATAGTACAGTTCTGAGCCTTAAGTGCTCAGCAACTATTTATGTGTTACAAAAGTTTCTCACATAAAGAAATTACAATTTAAGAATAGTCCTTATAAGCAGTTAAAAAATCAAAAGCTCCTGTATGATAAAAGGAAAAAAGGAAGGAAGGAAGGAAGAAAGGAAGGAAGGAAGGAAGGAAGGAAGGAAGGAAGGAAGGAAGGAAGAAAGCATGGAAGGAAGAAAGCATGGAAGGAAGAAAGCATGGAAGGAAGGAAGAGCTGTCAACATGCCTAGCCATCAGGGAAATGTAAATTAGAACTATTTTGAGATTCTTGCTCACACCAATCAGAATAATCATCATCAGAAAAAAACAGGTGTGGATGTGGGGAAAAGGAGTCTCTTACAGGGTTAGAAAATGCAGCAACTAAGATGATAAGGATGGAGTTTAAAAACCTGAAGCCAGAATTATCATATGACACAGCTGTTCATTGTCATTTTACACGCCTGTCATTGAGCCACAGAGGAGCCAGTAGGAGTCTGTACCACAGTGGTGTGTTTCCTCCATCTACCAAGGAGGAGTTCCTGCTTATTCTGAGGACTCATTTTATCTTTTAGCGTCTTCCTTACCATTGGGTCAGTCACCTGTGTTTATTAAAAAAGAATCCTCCAGACAACAAAACTCAACTCAGGTGTTGTGGCTGTCAAGTTAATTATTTTTGCCTTTTCCCGACATCAATTATTTATTTTTAACTGTGCAAAGCCAAGGTCTTCACTGTGCACCCAGTTTATCTCTGGGTATCTTTTGCCTTGGTAACTATTAAAATGCCTTTGATTTTTCTAACAATTGTCAGGCAGATGGCAGAGCTCCTCCAAAATACTAAGTAAAAGGAAGGCAATACGGAGCAAGAAATTGTTGACATGAGTTCTCTGTAATGATACAGTTGGACTATTGGGCTGTATGGTAGTCTTAGTCTCTATAGCAGCTTCACCAGTTTCGATTCCCACCAACAGTTAATACAAGCACCCCTTTCTGCACACCTTACCAGCATTTGAAGTCATTTGTCCTTTTTTATTTTTTAATTTAATTTAATTTATATATTTATTTATCACAATTTATTCACTTTGTATCTCTGCTGCAGCCCCCTCCCTCCTGTCCTCCCAGTCTCACCCACCATCTCTCTTCTCCCCCTATGCCCTTTCCCTAGTGCTCTGATAGGGGAGGTCCTCCTCCCCTTCTATCTGACCCTAGATTATCAGGTCTCATCAAGGCTGTTTGCATCATCTTCCTCTGTGGCTTGGCAAGGCTGCTCCCCCCAGGGGAAGGTGATCAAAGAGCCAGCCACTGAGTTCATGTCAGAGACAGCCCCTGTACCCCTTACAAGGGAACCCACTTGGAAACTGAGCAGCCAATGGGCTTCCTTTGAACAGGGCATCTAGGTCCTCTCCATGCATGGTCCTTAGTTGGAGTATGGGTCTCTGCAGGGGATCCTGGGCACAGGAATTTTGGCTCTGTTGTTTTCCTTATGTAGTTCCTGTCCCCTCCTTTCTTTCTTTCTTTCTTTCTTTCTTTCTTTCTTTCTTTCTTTCTTTCTTTTTTCTTTCTTTTCTTCTTCTTCTTCTTCTTCTTCTTCTTCTTCTTCTTCTTCTTCTTCTCATAACTCAGAGTGTGTTAGTTAGCACAATAAAACACATTGTGCATACACACAATTAGAATCTCAGAAGAAGAATGGGGCAAATGCCTTTTTAAATTTTTATTTTTATTTTCTTTTTTATTTACTTTACACTCCCTCCCTTCTCTCCTCCCAGTCCTGCTCCTTTCTCCCTTCCCTTTCCCCTCTTCCTTTCTCCCCAGAAAAGGGGAGCCCTCTCCCCATCAGCTTTCCCCAGCACATCAAGTCACATCAGGACTGAGCATATCTTCATGCCCTGAGGCCAGACCAGGTAGAGCTGCCAGGGCAAAGTGATCCAAAAGCACGCTAGAAACAGCCCCCACCCCTACTCACCATGCACCTCATATGAAGACCAAGCAGCCCATTGGACACATGTATGCAGGGGCCTATGTCCAGACCATGCATGATCCTTAGTTGATGTCTCAGTCTCTGAAAGTCCCCACGAGACTGGGTTAGTTGTCTCTGTTGGTCTTCTTGTGAGGTTCCTGCTTCCTCCAGGTCCCTCCATCTTTCCAACACTTCCACAGGATTCCTGGAGCTCTGCCCCATGCTTGGCTGCAAGTCCCAGCATCTGTCCTGATCAGCTGCTGGTTGGAGCCTCCCAGATGACAGTCAAGTTAGTCTCCTGTCTGCAAGTGTCATTAATAGTGTGAGGGGCTGGCTCTCTACTGTGGAGTGGGACTCAGGTCAGGCCAATTATTGGTTGGACATTCCCTCAGTCTTTGTTCCCTCTTTACCCCTGTAGGTGGGGTAAGTTTTGGATCAAAGGTTTTGTCATCGGGTTGTTGTTCCCCTCCTTCCACTAGTCCTGCCTGGCTAGGACGTGGTCACTTCTGCCTTCATGGCACCCCTCCCCCATGTTAGGAGTCTCGGCTGGAGCCACACCCATGTCCTCCCAAGAGCCTACTTTGTCATGGGCCTCCAGCGTGAAAAAGAGATGTCCCTCAGTTTCCCTTTTTCCCAGACCCTTTTTTCCTGTCACAGACCTCCCTTAGTTTCCCTTCTTGTTCCCAGACCTCTCACCTCCCACCCCCATTCTCTCTTCACATCTCATCCCCGCTCTTGTTTCTCTCCCCATTCCATCTCCTACCCAGTTTCCTCTCTTCGCCCACTTCTGCTGTCTATTCTATTTCCCTTCTGAGTGACATTCCAGAATCCTCCCTTGGGCTCTCCATGTTACTTAGCTTCTTTGGGTCTGTGGATTGTAGTATGATTATTTTGTACTATAAATCTAATATCCACTTGTAAATGAGCACATACCAATGTGCATATTTCTGGGTCTGGGTTAACTATTTAGGATGATCTTTCCTAGTTCCATCCAAAAAGGATGGAATGCTTCACAAATATGTGTGTCATCCTTGCACAGGGGCCATACTAATCTTCTCTGTATTGTTCCAATTTTAGTACATGTGCTGCTGAAGCAAGCACGGCAAATGCCTTTTTTAATGAGATAAAAGCTGAGAATTTTTTCTGAAAGTGACAAAAAAATGCCAAACTGCAACATTTATTTTGCACTAAGCAGAGCAGTTCACCCCATGTCAGCTCTCTCATTTTCAGGCACACGAAGCCTCAGTCGTCTGTGATCTGCTTCAGTAGTTATCAGGCCCGGTGGTCCTCACTCTCAGAGGTCTGTACTTCCTGAGAATTATGTGGAGAGCATTTTAAAATATCGAAGTCCTCCCTCACAGCCCGAAAGTGTGGGTTAGCTGGCCTGGACACATAGGGAGCTGAGCGTCTGCTATTTTTGAAAAACTCCTGTGATGACTGTAATGTGCAGCTTTGTGAACCATGTGCAGTGGCTGAGTTTGGTACCATGTGAGCTCAACTCTGTGAAAAAAAACTAGAAACCTAGCGTTGTCCCCAAATCAAGCCAAATTCTACACTTGAGACTTCATGCCCCCACAATTACACAGCTGTTATCTGTGCTGCTGTCGTTTGTCAGCAGATGTTGGCTCCTTCTCCCCATCCTTTATCTGACATAGAGTCCAAGAAGGAAAGAGAAGTGAGTCATTTATTAGCTCTGAAAACTCCAGAAATCTGTTGACTGAAGACTTCAACAATGATTCATTTGATATCAAAAGCAAGTTCAGCCTGACATGTTGGTTCTTAGTCTAGGCAGTGCTTTTTTTAAGATTTTAATTAGTGTGTGTCTGAATGTCAGAAAGTCTTTGTCAATCCTGTCATATTAAAATCCAGGTACATTATCATGTTAGTTTGCATGAGCCTTGGGTGTCTCTCCACTGAGTTTTAATGCTTTTCCAAGCAGCATTCCCTTGAACTCTGCTATGATGGACTACTTCATTGCAAGCCAGAGATGACAAACATAAGTGAATATGACCTCAGATCTCTGAAACCATAAATCAAAATAGACTCTTTCTCCTTTAAATGGAGTTTTGCAGGTATTTTGTCCCAGCAAAGAAACACTGATTAACACAGACTAATAAAAAATGTACCTAAAGCAAAATGTGACTGGTTAGACTAGGCTGCTGAGAACAGTGTGGAGATCCTGACAGACACTTCTGTCAGGGGACCTGACACTAGAGGAGGGCATCAAATTTGTAGTTGCCAGAATTAACCGAAATCTTTCTTCCACCATATGTACTTCCTCATGTCTAGAAACTCTTTCCTGATTTACACCACTGTTCAGAGCAGTCAGCTTGATGTGAGCATTGGGGTTGCAGAGCAAGGCTGTCACAGGAAATCTGGGGGCCCCAGGGTCAAAGCCTTTTCTTGTTCTTGTAAGACTAAAACGTTAGGACTGAAATGTCAGCTAGAAATTATCTGTAAGCACATACAAGGAAGAAAACAGAGAAGTTGAGTCCTTCTCTCCTATTGGCTGAGACTACGGGGATGAGACTCTCTTCCAGGACAAGTACCCGAATTCCAAGTGGCTCCCTGAAGGGGCAATGTTCCCCACGCTCCTGTTTGACAGTACAGTCACCTCTCTGGCAAGCTAAACAAACGGGCAGAAAATGCTGCTCATAGTCCCCAAGGATGTTACAGGTGGGAGCCAAACGTTTCCACTGTGTGTTCTCAATGTAGGAAGTCCAGCGGTGGAAGCCTTCAACTAGGGATGTCCTCTAGACAAGGGAGGGGGCAGGGGGCTTTGTAGCCCACACAGATTCACTGAGTCACCTCAAGATATTCAAATAGCAGACTATCATATCACCATGAAAACAGGGCCTGGGAAAGAATCAAATAAGATTCCCTTTAAAGTAACAACAGAAGTATCTTAGAATTGAGATAAGAAGAAAGCTGAAATAATGGAAAACTGTTAGTGGAAATGAACTTATCAAATACCATTTCATTGACTAATGTAAGCATGGTGCCAGGAAAGAATGACTATTTGGTTTTTGTCTTAGGAGAAAACAAATTACAATTTGAAAGGAAAGAAGCATTTCAATATGGGTCTAATTAAAAATTAAAAGTTCAGTAATGAATTATTTTATCTTATTACCCAAAGACATAGGCTGTAAAACTGAGTGAAGCCAAGTGAAATTCTTCCTTTGGCTCATATGGAGTCTTCTTTTTCATTGTTTTGTTTAGTTTTAAGGCAGGGTTTCACTGGGTAATCCAAGGTAGCCTTGAACTCATGATCTTCCTGTCTCAGTCTCCTGAATACTGTGATTACAGGTTAGCTGCCAGTGTGTGTGGCAAGTCTTAGCAATTCTACTTGGCCAAGGGACTACACTAGGATCCACTTTAGATCACTGATGACAAATTTGAAAATGCCATCACAAGTTTTTCTGGGTCAGAAATTGGTCATACAAAATTTCCCGTTTTTCAATCTAAGTAAAAATTGGAAGGAAAGAAGATAGTGTGAGAAAGAGAGAATGAAAAACAAAGGGACAGAGAGTAAGACAATGAATAAAGGATGGAACTTAGACTAAAGTAGACTAGGGAAGAGTTTCTAGGTACATTCTAATTCTCGAGGCCAGAGTGTATGTAGCTCAGTGTGGTGGATGCCTTAGCTCTGAATTTAGTCCCTAGCACCACCAAAAAAGAAAAGATGAGGAGAAAGAGGGAGAGGAAGGAAATGGGGTGAGGAAGATGCAAAGAAGAGAAGGAAACAAACAAACAAACAAAAACCAATTTTCACAGCTGTATGAAGATATGGATGACAGCTAGGAAGCTGCACATATTCCAAATGTGTGATTTGATCATTGTGACACACATGTCCACTGGAGCCATCACTGAACACAAGCTCACCACTTCTGTCTCTTCCTGACCCCTTCACAGCCCTTCCTGTTTCCCCACAGAATGAGGTTGAGTTTTAAGAATTTTATATAATCACATAATATCACACATTGAGTTCTGTTTTATAGTCTGGCACCTTTCAGCATAATATATATATATTCATGTATCAGTAGCTTTTCCTCTTTGGTACAGACATGTCTCCACACGGATATGCCAAAGGCTTTCCAAACTTGTCCTTCCTGGTGATTGTCAGCCATCCTACCAGAGCATTTTGTCAGGATTCAGCCTTATCATCCCCCACTCCTGCTCTGCTTATGTCCAGTTATCATAAACTCCTGCCAACGGAGCCTGCAAATATCTTCCTGATGGATCCTTTCTTAGCATTTCCATGGCTACCAAACAAACAAAGCCATTATAATGTCTTTCTCAATTTTCTTGGAAATCTTCTTGTGTCCATTCATTCTTCTCTTCATCTTTGCAATCCCCATGGTAAAGCCCAGATGATTTCTTTCTAAACACAATTCCTCTAGTCTACAGCTTCAAGTCTTATTTAATATATTTTGGTTGGCTTTAGGATTTGAAGACAAATCTTTGACTTGTCTGACTTGACTGGTTCCTGCTGACCTTTCTATGGAGACTGGCCTCTGGCTTAGTAATAGAGCAGCTCATGGTTTTAATCCCTCTGGCCTTCCCCCATCTCCACACAGAGCCCTTCAGCAAATCACCATTTCTACTGTTAGATGCTAGTCAGAGCTACCACTATTTTTGTATTAACAACATTTATTTTTCTCTTTGGGGAAAAAAAAAACCTTTTTAAGCACTGGAGGCTACTCTTGAACTTACAGCCTTCCTCCTGTAACCTCCCAAGGGCTAGGAATAAGGGCTTGAGCCACACACTGGGTTCAGCTACCACCATTTTCAACCATTTCATCTGAACTGTTGACACAAACCAATTTGGAGAAATTTAATTCAAATTCATTCATATTCTTCTCTCCCTTCTTCCTCTCTTCTATCTCTCTCCACTTTCTCCCATTCAACAGTTTTTCCAAGTATTCATTAGCCTTATATCGGCTTCTAGCACAAATCAAAACATGTACCTGGTTGCTATATCCTATCTACTAGCTGTCCATTGCAATCACAATACAACTCAGTCTTCTGCACTGACCGTGGGTCTTGCTTGATCTGGCTCCTGCTTGCTCTTCAGTCCTTCTCCTCTGCCACTGTCAGCCTCTTTCACCCTGCTCCAGTCCTGGCATCTTCCTAACCTTCTGCTCTTGATTCATCACATCCCATTGACCTCTTGGAATGCTTTTCCAGCTTCTGAATGGCTGGTCCTTATCATCTCGTTGTCTATAAGGACTTTTTGACCACTTTTCCTCTTCCAGAAGAACCACTCTCCAGTCTGTTGCTTGATTTTGTGTGCTGTTCCTCTCAATGGCTTCTCACCCCACTTACAGCAGTCTCTCCGATAGACAGCCTGCAGGGCAACACACCACCTGGCCACCACCTGGCCACCACCTGGCCATCTTTTCCTCTGTAATCTCATCTCCTTTCTGATCAGACCATACTATTACTAGTTTCCTTGATGTTTTTCCAGTATCTCAAGGGCTGTCCTAACTGAAGACTTTTAGGGGTGTCAACCCTTCTCTCTAGAATATACTCAGGTAAAACTCTAACATCATTTGATCCCTCCTATCATTTAGATTTGGCTGAAGTGTTGGTCATAAGGTAGATCTTTTTCCACAATGTCAATTAATATAGAAACCTTATCAACACAACCACTATTCTCTACCTTCAACTTTTATTCTTCTCAAAACCCATTACTCAGCATGTTAACTCAGTATTGACTGTTCTCTGCCACTTGGCCATTTAGCAGAGCAGCAGTTGTTTTTATCACTGCTGTTTACATTATTCTTAGACAACCAATATACAATTTCCCACTGAATAGAGGCACTATCTGAAATTAGTTTATGCATCTAATTTATGTCTTCATGTCTCTACCACTTTAAACTACAGCAAATCCTTAGAGACACAGCTGTGTAGAGAAAGAGAGATTAATTCAACTACCATTTAAAATCATAACTGGGGGCTGGAGAGATGGCTCAGTGGATAAGAGCACTGTCTGCTTTTCTAGAGGTCCTGAGTTCAATTCCCTGAGACCCACATGGTGTCTCACAATCATCTATAATGTGATCTGATGCCCTCTTCTGGCACGCAGGTGTACATACAGATAGAGCACTCATACATAAAATAAATCTTAAAAAAAAAAAACTTTTAAAATCATAACTGATTTTAGTGTCTGTATTTTCATATCTCCCCAAACAGCTTCTCTAAGGAGAAGTGCGTCTTAGTCAAGCCTATGTTGTACAAACTGTGAACAAACAGAAACAAGAACAAAAATAGAAAGCTGGGCATGGCGGCAGCTTCTCAAGAGGTAGAGGCCGGAGAATCTCTGTGCTCAAAGTCAGATGGATCTACATTGTGAATTCCAGGATGGACAGTGTCTTAAAAACGACAACAAACAAACAAACAAAGAAACAAAACAAAACAAACTGTGGGGCCACAGTGGACTTGTCCACCACCAGAGGGGTCACCTAGGAGGTGGTTGAGATCAGACCCTGCTGAACCCTTCTCCACCTCCACCCAGAGAGAGGGAGGAGGAGAGAGGGGCTGACCTAAGGCTCCTGGCCATGCCAATGGGCTGCTTCTCTGTCCACCCTCACTGGAGTGTCCCCTGCCTGGCTGGCCCAGGAAGACTTGCACAATGGCAGGACAGAGGAAGTCCAGCAAGGTCTGATGTAAAGACTTACTAGGCAGTAGCAAATTAAACTGGTCTCTTTACCTTTTGTGGAACTAAATAGATCAGGATTGATGGGGGTGGGGTATGGAAATGAAAGAAACGGGAGACTGATCTCATCAGAAGCAAGGCGTCCTTTTATTAGACCAAGGAAAGGCAGCAGTCTTAGGGGAAGCGGAAGCAGAGGCTAAAGGGGCTTGAGGATTTCATAAGGCAGAAAAGGGAACTTTGGCGGTGGACGATTCCACTTACACATGTGTTCTTCTCAAGCTGTCCCAGCCCCTAACTGCCTGCAGGTGTTATCAGCTAAGAACTCTCCTGGAGGGAGTTTCTCAGCTAATCTGAGACTTTTGGGCCGTTAACCCTTCAGACTAGCATCTGGGCGGTGGTCTCAGTCCTTAGCTTATAGACCCGCACAGGTGAGAGAAGGCGCGGCTTTCCTACCTCTGGCGGGAGGTTCTTCTAGGTGGGGGACAGGGATTGGGGAAAGCTGTCCAAATTTGCCAGACTTGCGGAGCCACCACTCAGAGCTTTCTGCCAGCCCCACCCCACCCCCCGCAGGGCTCAGCCGGCACCTCGGAGCCCAGCGGGGCGTCTGCGCGGGGAGGGAGGGCTCACCGCACTTCCTCCCTGAGCCCGCGTCCGCGCCCCGAGGCGGCCCAGCCCGGAGGCGCCACCCGCGCTCTGCTAGCTCGTCCGGCGCACTTGGGCCCGCTGAGAACCCTGAGCTTCTCGCCACAGCACCCCTCGTCTGGGCTCAGCCCTCCTCAGCGGCCGAGGTAAGCAGCACCCCGCCTGCGCGCAGCGGCTACGGACGCGGGTGGCCACGCTGCGTGTCCTGTGGAGGGGACCCGCGGGGCGCAGGTCCACGCACCGGCCACGTGAGCCGGGCCCCTATGCCGGGGGGCGCTCCGAGTCCCTGCGCACTCCTGGCGCGTTTGACCTGTGCCAGCCTGGGCTCCCTGTCTCTTCCCCGCTCTGTTCCATCCGATCTAACAGATTTCCTGTTCAGGAAATACTACCTGTCTCAGGCCTCGAACCCTACCCTGAACTGAGCTAGTCTGAGACAAAACATCCCTCGGGGCGTTTTAGGGCGTTGCTAGTCTGACAAGACTTTTCAGAGTCCCAGGACAAGGCTGAAAGTGTTCCCTTCCTTTGAAACTGAGAAACTGCGATTCTGCTTTTTGAAGACAGTCTTTCCCCTCTCGTCTTCTTTGTAAAATGTGGTGAAGATGAGTTTGAATACTAGATATGGGTTTCCTAATTAGGCTTGGCGTGAAGATGCAGAAAATATTTTAAAATCACGAAGGACAAAGATGCTCTTGTATTCCTTAGAACCCTGATGGAGGCCCCCACTCAGACCTTGCCTTGTGCACCTCCTCTTTCCTCTCCTCTCACTCTGCCACAATGAAGATCTCAGCATCTCTGTTCAAAGAATGTTTTTGTGATAGAAACGCGAAGTAAAGGGAAATATAAAGCAGATAAGAGACGGTGGGGTTTCTGTCCACTTAAGAGTAATGTGTTGTGAACAAACTCAAGGATGCACTTCAGTGCTCGATTTTAAAATTTGGGACTCCAAACTTCAGAAGAGGTTTGGCCTTCAGACTAAACTAGAAGTTTTGCCTTCTGGGCCTCCCTAAAACACGAGCGTGTGGGCCTTGAGAGGAACGCTGACTACCAAGATAGTAGGAACTAGGAAGAGTCGCTCAGTGAGTCCGACAAATGTAACACCATCTTCGAATGATTAGCACTTAATTTTTACACTCTTACAAATATTTGTGACATTTCCGGTACTGGTAGACTCAGGTTGTTGCTGTACGTCTATCTGATACAGGGATGAAACTCAGTTACATTGTTTTAACCACCCTGGAACTCAAGTAGTGAGATAATGCCACACAAGAATGGAGACAGTAGCCTTGCTGTGACAGGGCTCAGAGGTAGGCAGCAATGGAGTGCTCTGCTTCAAACTCGGTACTCAGTCCCAGGGAGAGCCAGCTGTGTGAACGGCTGAAATAGGAACTTTTCAAGGGTTTGGTTTCTGAGAAATTTCTCAAAAAAGCAAAGCAATTTCTGGCCTCCATGTAAGTTGCCAACATTCCATTCTACTGCATTTCAAAAGTCCTGAGTTGTTTGTTTGTTTGTTTTTCAGACATGGTATGGTTGTGTACATATAATACTCACTAAACTCTGTAGCACCCACATCATTTGCTTAGAAGTTTTATATTCTGAGAATGTATACCAATTCTCCACTATAGTTTCCCCTTATGTCACAGATAGATAAAAAGTTCTAGATATTTCCATATCATATAGTGAGCAATTTTTAAAGTTGCCATGAAGTTAGTGTTATGCTGCTTTGATTTCTCAAAGAGGTTTTTTTTTTTTATTTCTAGTCCTTTTCAATTTCGTTTTACCTATTTTGATAAGTAAGCCTTTAAATAAATCTACAGTTTTTTACAATAAACTTCATAAGTGATCTTAGGAACTTTCAAAATAGAATAATCTAAAATTAATAGCACAAACATGGACATTATACACATAACTGGAAGCTCATTTTATGCAACGTTTTTATGCAATTGTGTGTGTAAGAAAAATTGTATATCGCAGCTCAGTGTCTGGGTGCTTTTTCTTGGAGATGCTGAATAAATTCTATGTGGTAGATCTGTGTTTGGGCTGTGACTGTGACATATCACATGAGGTTAGATGGAGCCTCAAGACTGAACACTTCTTATTAACACGACTGATACTTTCAGTATGAAAATACTTCTGTTTTGTATCAGTTCTCTCATCCAAATGCTCAGTGTCTTAAAGTTCAAACACTGTCTGAATTCAGATGTAAGATAAATACACATCTTAAGACCTGAGGGCCCGTGGCAGGGACACTGGTTGTACAGTGATTTTTAATGGCCTGTAGTTAGAAGAAGTAGTTCTCAGAGGCAACATCACACATCCGGAAAAACAGTACATTTCTTCCGGGAAGAGAGAACAGCACTGTGAACAACACACCTGTGCCCGTTCAAGAGTCCGCTTTCTCCTTCATGGTGACGGGCCTACGGACAGCAAGGACTGGAGGGTGACACGTCACTACCGCATCTCTACTTCCCAGACGAAGTCTGTCACCACACATCAAAACATGCTTGCTAAGTCAGCTCCACCTCTCAGGGGTACCAGCAAAATGTCTCAAGCCCAAGCCCCAGTGTGCTCACTGGGCCCTATTTTTAGGCAGGAGGAGAGACAGAATACTACCCTAGGGCATCACATTTCAAGTTTAGACTCGACAGCTTCGGTTCAGAGCCTCACTGCCTTTGCGTTGACTGTGAACTGAATCCCTAGGAACCGTAATGTGAAACCTATTTCTTTCCTTCTCTTCTAATTTGGGTTCCCTTTGGATCATCATGAGGCGGTAGTACATAATACTTATTCTTTCTTCAGCAGGTAATGGCTTAAACCCCTTACCCAAATTCTTGAGACCAGGAGTTTCATATGGTGGATTTTGGGGGAGTGGAGGATAGTATGTTTGTACATACAAGAGATATCATGAAGATCAATTATGAGCATGAAATTCATTTGTCTCATATATGCTTTATACACATAGGATGGTAATTTATACAATATTGTAAATAATTTTGTACATGAAAAAAGTTTATGTATTTCACCTAAGGAGGATAAGGAAAACTGCCTCCCTGGGGAAAGCTAAATGAACTTTGTGTTTTATGCCTATATTTTTTACTCTGAACTGTCCCATGTGGTCAGGTGTGGAATTTTGTTTCTGACATCATGTTGGTGCTCCAAAATGTTTCAGATTTTAAAAGATGTGGGATTTAAGGTTTTCAGAGTTAGGGATGCTTAATGAGACACGAGGTGGCTTAAGCACCATGTGATTTGCGAATCATCACATCTAGACTTATACTATTTATTGTAAGGCATCTTTGTCACTGAAATGAAAGCGCAGAGGTTAAGAACTGTATGTAGAGAGTAACAAGCAGAGCTGCTACTGACCTGGGGAAGGCTGATAACAGCACCCTGTAATCAAAATAAACGTTCAGATGAGGGAAAAGATGGGACCAATTTTCAGTGAGCTTGTCGCCTAAGAGTGGGGAGAAAAGCAGACTGTGAAAATTCTACATGTGACTGTTCTGTGTGACCACATAGCAGGCCCTACAGAGGCCAGAGTGAGAGAGGAGGATGAATGCAAGAGAGCCAAGCAAAACAAGCAACAAACTTGGAAGACAAGAGAGATATTCTTCTCCAAAGTTATCCTCTTTGACTTTCAAAAAGTAATGTGCTTTGGCCCAATCCTGTTTTCATTCTTATCTTTATTATAGCCAGATTCCTCCAGGTGGCCTTCTGGCTTGATTAAATCAGTAATGTAGTAAATCTAATCCTTTCTCTAACTCTGCTGGAAGTCTTTCTGGTTTGGTCTTATATTACAGACTCATCAGAGATATGCCTATGAGCTAAACAGATCAGTGCTTACTCACAGAGAAATTACGCTCGCACATAGTGGCTGGAAGATTTGTGTTCAGGTAACTACATCCTGTTAGGCTGGAGAGAAATAAAAAGTGACACTAGAACAAGTGAGCTGGGGTTGGGTATTTTTCCCTTCGCTTTCATTATAAAATTTTTCATGCGTACATAGAAAAGATGACTATATTCATGTATAGATATATATACCCCCATGTGTGGCCTAAAGGTTGAGAACTGCTGCCGTAGAGCAAATGTACGGCCTTGCTCCTCACGGCTTGCTCAGTCTGCCTCATAGAACCAAGGCCCAGCAGCCCAGGACCGGCCGGCCACACAATGCACTAGCCCTCTCCCATCAGCCACCAATTAACACTAATTAAGGACTTGCTTGCAGCCCAATCTTAGGGAGGCATTTTCTCAGACAGGTTCCCTCCTCTTAAATGATTGGCTATAGCTGTGTTAGGTTGATATAAAACTATCCACCACACCAAATTACTTTCTCACACTAGACACTGAGGGGTTGCTCACCCGTTAGGTATTTTCAGCTTGTTTCACATCAGGATCCGCAACTTCTCCTTCTACATGAGGAGAAGAACTCTACTAAGAACTCTTCTGAAGCGCCCCCCCCCTTCACACCCCATTCTAGCACTCAAATGGGCCTTAGCTAAAGCATGCACTGTATCACTACCTAATCTTCCCAAAGACTTCTTTCTGTTCCTCCATGCTAATCAGGGCCAGACCCCAACCTTCCTCTACTAATGAGTGGGTCTACAATCTTGTGGCATATCTGTCTAAACCAGTTGTTCTCAACGTTGCTAACACTGTGACCCTTTAATAATGTCCTTTGGGTTGTAGTCACCCCTGCAATCATGAAATTGTATTTCTTGCTACTTCCTACCTGTTATTTTGCTACGGTTAGGAATGTACTGTAAATATGTGATATGCAGGATATCTGATGAACCGGTCATTCTAACCCCAAAGAAGTCACGACCCACAGGTCGAAAACCACTGTTCTGAGCAATTAGATCTTGTTAGAAAGGAATGACCACCCAGCCCACTCTAGCCATCCTGACTGATGCTGCCTTTATAATCCCAGAAGCTAACAATTTCCTCACATAATGTATTAACTATTAATTCATGCCATTCGCTCAAAGAGCTCAGTCACTGAGCCTTTCTCATTCTATCACTCTCCCAGGGCCAAACCTATGTACCATTTCCCAACAAGCCAAACTCACAACCCTTAAATAAACCCTAATACTGGCAAAGATCTTTCTGTTAACATATATTTAGACTCAAAATATGAATATAAAATAATTCA